GTTTTTAAACTAATGGTACAATGCAAAGGGAAAGAAAAGTCCTGAATGCTTTGGTCAGGTAGTCCCAAGTCCTACCCTCCATACAAGTCACCCACTAGTCATTCATATCTTTGTGCTATTTCAGTAGGTCTCTGAAACAAAGTCTAAAGCAGGCTTGATCTGGAATGGAGCTCTCAGAAGATTTCCGCCAGGGTTCTAAAACCTGAACAGTCAGAATTCCAGTGCAGCCCAAGGCTGCTTTCCAGGCTGAGCTAGTGGGAGATAATGCAGTTAAAAAGAGTAAAAGATAAAAGTGTCCTAAATTTTTCAGAGTCAGGCATCTCTAGTCCCTCTAATTCTGCTTTACTGAAGGCAGAAACTGATCAAGAAAAGAGTACCTTCTATCAGCTTGGACTCTATTACTTTCCCCTGATGCCTTGTGCTTCATAAAGGATTATTACTTATTAAGGTTATTAACCCTTGAATGAAAAAGACCTAAGAGACGGTTACAGATACGCCAAGTTAATAAAAATCATATAATTTGGGTACTTGCAGAAAAAGCCCTAATTTTTCTACCTTTTTATTGGGATAACACTTTCCAATATTTTATTGGGATAATAATATTTTCTCTTCAACATATCATGAAGACTGATTAATTTCTGAAGTGTTTGAAACTGCAAATGGCTTAGAATTATAATAATGTACATAGGCCTGATAGTACCCAAAATGGGGGAAGGGCAGGGATGAGGGAAGCTGTGGCTTATAATTAATGACTGCTTTTGGAAACTACACATTCATATAAATATTTGGTCAATTAAATAACTAATTTAGGACTTCCCTGGTGGCGCAGTGGTTAAGAATCTGCCTGCCAATGCAGGGGACACGGCTTCGATCCCTGGTCTGGGAAGATCCCACATGTCGCAAAGCAACTAAGCCCGTGTGCCACAACTACTGATGCCACACGCCATGGCTACTGAAGCCCGTGTGACTACAGCCCGTGCTCTGCAACAAGAGAAGCCACTGCAACGAGAAGCCTGCGCACCGCAACGAAGAGCAGTCCCCGCTCACCGCAACTAGGGAAAGCTTGCATGCAGCAATGAAGACCCATCATAGCCAAAATAAAAATAAAATAAAGTTTAAAAAAATAACTAATTTAGTCAATGAATGGATATTACATATTGCCTAGTGCACACATCACTGCTATCAGAATTGCTTTAAAACTATTCTTTTGTTTGTTTGCCTTTTTTGTTTTGTTTTGGGTTTTTGTTTTGGCTGCATTGGGTCTTCGTGCTCCATGGCATGTGGGATCTTCCCGGACCAGGGCTCGAACCCGTGTCCCCTGCACTGGCAGGCGGATTCTTAACCACTAAGCCACCAGGGAAGTCCTAAAACTACTCTTAACTCATCAAATATCTCTATAGTGTTACAAATGCCTTCCCATAGCCTACTACTAAATGCTTCGGCCATTTCTTGTTATTATTCTTGACAAACATTTCACCTGTGATGAGGTAAAGGCCAGTGACAACAAACCCTGGGTACTCAACAGTTTGAATACCCAGTCTTATTAACCTTCATGTGAGTTTCTACAAGTAAGGTATAAAGTTTTCTGAGATCCACACAGATATAGTTAACACCTAGTACTGTGTGTCTACTATTGTTCTAAGCATGTTATAATAATAATTCTCAAAACAAGCCTATAAGGTAGCTACAAACAGTTTAGTTAAAACACAGGGAGCAAGGGAGTTCACTTAGCCATTATCAGCAATGGTCAGTTTTTATCTAAAATGTCCACATGCATTGAGAAAAATATCTGAACAGTCAATAAACAAAAATAAGTTTCCTATAATTAAGGTTTTCACATGTAATAATATTGGCTTCCTAGCTATGGTACACAAAAATTTTGTTCCCTTTCCAATTCATGTACCCCAAATTGGTTCATATTTTATCTGTTACTAAGAATTCAAAAGGAAAAGTAAATATAAATTAAATTAACACCTTTCTTTTAGACTAGGCATAGATAGCTAACGTATTGGCTTCAATACCCAGATAAAGTGTACTTAGGTCACAAAAGTCACTAGAATCCTACCACCATTATATGTAGGAACATATTGGACTCTTTTTTAACCTTGCATTACCACTATTTGGAAAATTTCCAGAAAGGTTTAAAAAGAAAAGTAAAAAGGAGGAAGGTGAAAAGCTGCAAAGTTCATAAGAGTCCTTCCATTTGAAGAAGGGCTGAAGAGACCATACTGGGACTGAATCCTCCTGAGACGGTGTGAAAACTTACATAATACACGAAGACCTGAAGAGCCAATTAGAACAAAGTTACATGGGATTTCGTGAGAAGTAGTAAATTACGGACAAAAAACACTATTTTCCTTTCAACTCATTTGGAGGCTTGGGACACCCGCAGGATTGTATCTTGTAGAAAACTATCTAGAAAATGCTAAAATGGAGTCAAAATAGGTGTTGCTATTATGCCAGTAAACAAAAGTTAATTTTTAAGCTATAATTGGTCTATTGGTGATCTGATTTAGGAAAGATGATTTGAGAAGACTAAGCTTTTCCTTTCTGGTTAATCTTTGTAGGCCCTAACTGTTCCTCGATTTATGACACTAGTATTCTAATGATATTCTCCAACTGTCTAATTCAACCTTTGTGTTGCCACAAATCAGCTAAGTAATAGAGAACCTTCAAGTGTTTGGTTCCCTGATACAGGGTAAAAGTCCAAACTCCTTAGCACTGCATGCCTACCCTCTTCCTTTTCTAGCTACTCTCCCAAATGCACCATTCACAGGCAGATGCTTCCTTCACAATCACCTCATGTCCCTAATCAAACACATCTGTCTCTGTGGTGGTCAAATCCCAAACCTAAGCTGTGTGGTTTGACGCCTGCAGGTATAGCCCCAATTTCCTCAAAGTGCCATGAGGTTTAATGCTTCTGTATCCTTGCATATGTCACTCCATCTGGCTGGTGTGCCTTTCTCTCCATCTCCCTGGTTCTTCTGTCTGATTTAATTCAACCCTGAAGACTCAGTCTCACATAATCTGAGAAGCTTTTCTGACATCCTCATCCCTAGGTGGGTCAGCTGCTCTTTGGACACTGGGCTGTATTCCCCCACTAGACTATGAACTGCTTTACCAGTTTCTAGGTGAGTGACCTTGGACAAGTTCATCAATTTCATTGAGCCCGCTTCTTCATATAAAGAACATTAGCATTCATTTGCTGCTATCACTATGAAATAATGAATGTGAAAAAATCACTTTGTAGACAGTCAAGCACTGTGTAAGCATTAACAATCTTATCATAAACCAAAAGAGCACACAGTATTCTAGGTGAATATACTTCAGTTGATCTAAAGGTAAGATTCATCTCTTGGTTTTCAGGCCGCTCCAAGGATGCCCTGCATTTTATCCAACTTTATGACTCCAATTAAGTCCTTGTGCTTCTATCTTCAAAGGAAAAAAAAAATCTATCATGATGTCTAGGTCATCTGAAGAAAAGACTTAGTGGGAAGCTCCTCAAGGGTAAGGATTGTTCTTTTTGTCCCACCTTTCCTATTGCCTTCACAAGAGTACTGCGTGATGTACAAATACTGGTAAAAAGGAAAAAGATGAATGAGTGAGTGAACACAAGCATATCCTGTCCTTAGTGAGCTTATAATCAAAAGGAGTGAGTGATGTGACAAGTCCCATATGAATCTGGCCTTGTGAAAGTGGTAACAAATGCCTTCAATGTCATTTTAAAGTGTAGTAAGAAACTGAATTTCCTGCTATGCTTATTTTGTTTGGTGATTTGATACATCTTGTAATTGCTATCTTAGTGACTCATGCTTAACGTGAATGTTTTAACATTATAGAATCGCTTATGCAATTCAATACCTATTTTAAAAAATATTTTCTGCACTAGGCCCTATGAGAATATGAAGACAAAGGTGATGGACTTTGCCCAGAAGATGCTAAACATACAGAAAGGAAGCTAAGTCATCAATACATATAATTAATACAAGGCAGAATGTTGTAAGATGTACGGAAGACATCTGAGGTAGGCCACTGGAACCATAAAAATTATAGCTATATATTACAAATTACTGGGGGCCAATAGCTTCTGCTATTATAGAATATTATATACATGTATATATATAAAACATTTGCTACATGCAATGGTGGATATTTCTGACTGTCTTCCTCCTTAACCTAATTACAAACCTAACTGTGTTGTTGTGTAATGAATAAGGACTTACTGTTAACACCTACATCACACGTGTGTACCAAGCACAGTTCCAAGGCCCTAAGGTATATTGCCTCATTTAATCTCCACAACAACCCTACGAAGTAGATACAGTAATCCCTATTTTACACAGGAGAAAACCAAGGCATAAACCTTGTACCTTTTCAAGGTTAAAAGGCAAAAATGAAAAGATGTAAACAAGGACCTGAGAGAGAAAAACGAGTATTCCACACAGAGAGAGTGAGCGGACTCCACCTGCCACAAATGCTTCGACCAGTGCTTTCCACCTCTCCCAAACGCACCACTGGGAACAACCTATCTCCTTTCCCTTCCCGCCAGGGATTAATTTTCTTTTCCTAAATCCATAACTGATTCAGATTCTCTCAAACGTTCCCAATCCAGAGGGCAGACTGGTATTTAAATCATAGGCAGTTCAGGGCAAATGAGACCGAATCAGATCCCGGGGTGGACGAAGCTCAGGTAGGATCACGAAATTAAAGCTTTGGCGCTGGCCATCCGTTCCCGGATCACCCCCAGGGGATGGCAGCAGCACCCGGCTGACCCAGGGGGCGCTACCCCGGCAGTATCCCCCAGGCGGCTGGGGTTTTGCCATCTGCTCGCTTTACCCTTCACCTGCCGGCGCTGCCTGCACGGTCTCCACCCTACTCGGACCAAACGCCAGGCCTCACGCGCCTCGCTCTCCCCGCGGTCAAGTTCCAAACCCACCAGCGTGCGTGTCGGCCCCCGCAGAGGCAGCCCGTCCCGCTCCCTCCCCCGGCCGGCTACTCACGGTTCCAATACACCGGGTAGCATTCTCCTTGGGTCACATCCACCTCGTAGAGGCCGCCCCGCACACACACCCGCTCGATGTTCACCAGCTCCTCCATCTCGCGCCCATGCCCGACAATGCGCGGGCAGAAGCCGCAGACGCGGTCCTCGGCGTCGTCCTCCGCGGAGCTAGAGGCCGGCCCCGCGGGGGAGGCCGGGCCGCCCACATGGTCGCCGTCCGGGTCCTGCGCCCGGGCCCGGGCCCCGGTGGCCTGCGGCAGGGTTCGGAAGGCGAGCTCGATGCGGAGCGAGTCGTAGCCGATGAAGGGCTTCCAGGTCTTCTTGTCCTCCTTGTAGAACCAGCGCACCTCCTCCGGGCCCAGCTCCGTCACCACCTCGTAGCGGTGCCGGGCGGCCGCGCCGCCAAGCCGGGTACGCTTCCTCTCCCCGAGCCCCGCTCCGGCCGTCCCGCCGCCCCCCGAGTTCGTCGGGACCAGCGGCGGGTGCTGCGGCGGGTGCAACGACGAGGAGCTGCCGCCGCCACCACTCTCGCCCTCGCTGTAGTAGCGCAGCGAGGAGCCCGACTCGGCCGAGCTGAAGTCATAGTTCTCGTCACTGAGGCAGGGGTCCAGCGCCAGGTGGTGGTTGTGGTCCTCCGCTCCCGACGTCAAATGCAGTCCGGGCTCCCCGCGCAGCAGGGCCACGGACACCTCGTCGTCGCCCGGGTCCCCGGCGGGCAGGTGGTCGAAGCAGCAGACGCTGCTGCCGAACGCCGGCTCCTCATCTGAGCCCAGCTCCCAAGCGGTGGCACCGCCGCCGCCGCCCCGGCCGTTATGCTCGGGGTTTCGGGGAGACCCGTGGCCCGGGTAATTCATGCTGTGAAGATGCCGCCGGCTGCCCGGCCCGGCGCCGAGCCGTGGCCCACAGCACTTCCGCCACACATTCAACGCCGCCGCCCTCTCCACCAAGAGTTTTTAATCTTTCAAATCCTGACCGGGGCTGCGGCGGCAGCGGCGGCAGCGGCGGCAGCGGCGGCAGCGGCGGCAGCGGCGGCAGCGGCGGCAGCGGCGGCGGCTCCGCCCCCACCGAGGCCCCCGGCCGCCGCAGTCGTGTTCCGCCGCCCGCCCCATTGTCACGCAGCTCGACGTAGGTGGCGCTTGGCCCGGAGCCCCGCCCCGCCCCGCCGGCCGCGTGTGCAGTCCCGGAAGTCCCTTCTCAGCCCAAGCAGTGCGGGAGCCGCGCCTCTTGCCCTTCCCGCCGCGGGAGAGGGGTCAGCTCATGATTCCTCAATTCCCTTCGCCTCCTCTCCCTTCTCTCTGCCGTGCTGCTGCCTCGGACCTCGCCCTTCTGAGGGTCAGAGCCCAGGTGTAGAGAAGCTTTAGCCGACTCATCCTTGCAATGCAGGTCTCGAGCCCAAAGGCTTATGCTACCCGTCGAGAGGACCCTGGGAAATTGGATTCTCCTGACACTGCTTTTGTGACCTTAGGCCTGCCTGCAGCCCCAGCTGGACCTTATCAATCTCCTGGTTCTGGTCCCTCCAGAATTGTCGGCCTACGCGAGAGCACTCCACCCCTTGCCCACTGATTGCTTACGTGGCGCCACCACTCCCACTCAAACCCAAGTCTAAATCTCCCTTCATATGTCATCTCATATTACTGCTTGTCTTGCAACACTTATTTGCTGTTTTCTCAACCTCATTGTAATGCCCCTGTTGGAGACCAAGTCTATATGTCTCAATCTCTCCCACACAGTGGATGCACCGTCAATGTTGATTATAATGGTGTCAAGCACAGCCAGTTGTGATAGATTACTGGATTGAAAACCAGAAAACCAGGTTCTAGACTTAGTTTTGATAGCTAACCGCAGGCTGGTCACTTAATCTCCATCTGTTTGGTTTCCTCATCTGTAAAATTAAATGATTATTAGACTAGATGCTCTCTTAAAGTCTCTTATAGCAATGGAATTAAGTAAACTTTTTGTAAAAAATTAATATTTATTTATTTATTTGGCTGCGCCATGTCTTAGTTGCAGCACATGGGACCTTTTTAGTTGCGGCATGTGGGATCTAGTTCCCTAACCAAGGATAGAACCTGGGCCCCCTGCAGAACCCGAACCTGTTCTCCATGGATCTCTGATTTTGTAGCTTATTTCCTGGGATCAGGTTGAATGCTGAGGCTCCCCTATACGGTTCTTTTATATTACAAAAAAAGTTTTATAAGCCAGTCACCCTATGTTAAGAATCCAGAGAAAAACAATCTCCAATGTCAGTATTCTCAATTCAAGATCAGAAAATATTCAGTTTCCTTTTCCACCATTTGTGGTGGAATCAGATTGATAGAGCATTTTTTTCTTGCTGCTGGGATCTAAGCTGTCAGAGATTGCCATTATTTAAAACAGGACAGTCTGGGACTTCCCTGGTGGTGCAGTGGTTAAGAATCTGCCTGTCAATGCAGGGGACACGGGTTCGATCCCTGATCTGGGAAGATCCCACATGCCGCAGAGTAACTAAGCCCACATGCCACAACTACTGAAGCCCTTGCACTCTAGGACCCCCGAGCCACAACTACTGAGCCTGTGTGCTGCAACTACTGAAGTCCATGTGCCTGGAGCCGGTGCTCCGCAACAAAGAGAAGCCACAGCAGTAAGAAGCCTGCGCACAGCAACGAAGACCCAACGCAGCCAAAAATAAAAAACAAAACAACAAAAAAAGGACAATCTCTAGCTTGTATGTGTTTGAAAAAAGGCATTGCTTCCCATGGGCAGATACAAAACACTGTTGGCAGTCATGGCTTGGTAAGTAGAGCATAGGCTGGATTTCTGCTCCAATTTTTGCCCTTGGCTGGATAACCTTACACAGTGAACAACCCGCCCAACTGGACACTGCATCCCTGACTCAAAGCACATAAGATCAGAGCCCTTGTTTCTGTTTATATTGCTTTCTGAGTACCTGCATGTCAATTTCTTCTCCAGTCCTTCTATGGACAACTTTCAGAATCTGAAATTAGGTCTGAGCTTTGATCTATTTGCTACCCATAACAGCATTCATTCTACAGTGTTTTGATGGTCACCTATGTGCCAGGTATCTCTGTGCTAGGTTCCAATACAAAAGAGAATGGGAGAGACTCAGTTCCTTCTTCAAGGACATTATTGCCTAGTGGGGGATACATACAAGTAAACAGATACATTATAGTACAGTGTGCAAAGTACTATAAAGGTTATTTAATATACGGAATATCACAACATTTAAAATATCTCTATCCCTTTAGGTTTCTTGATGGACTACCTGTACAGCTACCTGGTCAGAGTATTTTCCTCTGTAAAAAAAAAAGAAAAGAAGAATATTATTCCCTTCCCTGTACTGAATGAATGTTCCTATTGTTTAAATGTTGTGCTTATTAGGTTATGCTGAGAAGATTATCCTCTTGGGGACCATTGCATAAGGCCACAATTTTTTAGGTAGCATGATCTTTCTTGAAGAAAATGTTGATCCTCAGAGATGATGAACAAAATCACTATCCGTTTGGCAGGAGTAGGGAACCTCAGGTTCTCTCCTGACCTCACTATCTTGATTTAGACCTTGGTGAGGGCAGATACCAATCAGTATTTGTGGGAGTTAGTTGAGATTGCCTCTGTCCCTTGGAAATGAGCTGGGACCAGAAGGACAGAGCCGTGTAGCCAACCTCAGGCTGACAGTGAATAAAAGATATTTGAAAGTATAATACCTAATTTCACATAACTGTATGTGTTTATTTCATTGTTGTTCCTTAGCCATATCAAGGCAAAAGCCACAAAGCTGCTCTATTCAACGTCTTCTGCTTTAAGAAGTCATCTTTTATCTGATTCTTCCTGCTACCACTATCCTACCTTTGCTTTCTAGAGCATCTTTTCGGATCACATGATCCTGACAAGAGGGGGAAGGGTTCCTCTATTCCAGTCCCAACCTGTTGGAACAGGTGTCAGGTGGGTCCTCACCACTCTACATTATTAGTGTATGCGATTCACACAGCAGTATCTGAACTTCCATGGTTGTATGCAAAACATTCTTTTTTTTTTTTTAATAATTACCCAAGACCAAGCCTTCTTCACATAAGCCAAATAAGTATGATCGATTCAGACTTTTGGCATTTGTGGACCCATGTTGCTGCAATAACCAGGTGGATGTGGAGCCAAGCCTGGAAAGTTCTCATTGCTTGGGAGAGAAAAAGAGGCAAAACCAGCTGGTTTGTAGTATAAGAGACTGAAGCATCTCATCTGCACATCTTGCCATGCTCCATTTACTATTGGGCACATGGCAGGGGCTATCTAGCAATAACAGCCATCTTCCCCTTGCCACCTCTCAAAAGTTACATGGTGCAATTTTGGGCTACCCTTCCCTTTTCTTCTCTCTCTCTTTTTTTTTGCGGTACGCAGGCCTCTCACTGTTGTGGCCTCTCCCGTTGCGGAGCACAGGCTCCGGACATGCAGGCTCAGCGGCCATGGCTCACGGGTCTAGCCGCTCCGCAGCATGTGGGATCCTCCCAGACCGGGGCACGAACCCATGTCCCCTGCATCGGCAGGCGGACTCTCAACCACTGCGCCACCAGGGAAGGCCCCTTTTCTTCTCTCTTAAAGGTTGTCCCTGTTGTCCATTTTAATCCATTTTCACCTGTGTAAAAATATTAGGGTTAACCTTATGCCATGTAATTTATTATGAGCCAATAACCCACACCTGCACTTGAAATGGCTTTGTCCAAAGTATATGGTAGAATATTTAGGGTGAAGAAAGTCACATAACAATACCCTCCGTCTGCTGTATTTCCTATTTGATAAGCCATCTGCTACATTTAAATTTTTTATTTTTAGGATTACTATTTATTTAGTTTCTTAAAATGTGAGTGTCTTAGTCTCAGGCTGCTATAACAAAATATAACAAACTGGGTGGCTTATAAACAACATTTATTTCTTATAGTTCAGGAGGCTAGTAAGTTGAAGATCATGGTGCTGGCAGATACTGTGTCTGGTGAGAGCTTCCTGGTTCATAGATGTTATCTTTTCACTGGGTCTTCACTCATTGGAAGGGGCTAAGGAGCTCTGTGAAGCTTCTTTATAAGGGCCTTCATGACATAATCACCCCCCAAAGATCTTCACAGATGAAGATATACCCTCCTAATGCCATCACCTTGGGGATTAGGATTTCAACATATGAATTTTGGAGAGACACAAACATTCAGACCATAGCAGAGAGTGTCTTTGGTCACAGACTAAATGGAATGATAACCTAGCCTGAAGCAGGAAACATTCATTGAACCTGTATAAGATGTCTACAGAGTTTCAGGCATTATCCTAGGTCCTGCAGTGAAGCATTCAACTATCTAGAGGTATCTTTAAATAAACCCAGAATGCCAACTTTTTAGTTCCTGTGAGGAAAATATTGATAACTGTAATGCCAGAGTGACCACAGGAGTCATTCTTTCCCTGAAGACAAATCAAAAGAGGAGGCCAAGTTACAATCAAAAGGTAGCTAGGCAAGCAGAAATAACGTAGGAATACATAATGAATAAAATCATTCATCCTTTTGTTTATTCTTTCAACAAATATTTATTGTCTAGTGCTATTTTGCTGATGGTTTGTTGTTTTTATGTTTAATTGAAGTCACACTTAAGATGTCGAATTATTAAGTGCATTTACTTAATGATTTGCAAGAAGTCTGCCCACAAAACTGTACTTATCAAAACTTCATAAATTTTTTTTTATATTCCTTCTGGAAATAAAGGTCAATGGTATTGAAGGTTTATATTCAAATGAAAGAAAATGTAAATCAATACAATATTGATGCTCAATGGAGGCAGCCGCAAAATCCTCAGCTTGTTTATATCAGAAAGAGAAGATTTAGTTA